AAACTTTCAATAAAATTAATAAAAAAGTTGGGAGGGGAGAAAAGTGCAACAATGAATGAATGGAAATCCAAAGTCTCTGTAAATTATCATTGAAATTAGTAATAAATTTTTAAAAAAGTGAGGAGGATGGGACTCTGGCTCACTTCCTTTGGTCAGAGTGTTAGGAAAGACCACTTGCTAGAAAAGGATACCATGATTAGTAAGGGGAGGGTCGGAAAAAGAGGAGAGGCACCCTCGATAAGACAGACTGACACAACAGCCAAAACAATGGACTTAAATACCCCAGTGCAAATGAAGAGAATACAGGACTGGGAAATATTTTCTCCTGTTTCACACAAGGTCACTAAGTTAATTTGAAAACAGTTAGCTTGAAGAAATGAAAATATATTGGAATGGATCCTGAGCTAGTCCAGTTACAAATAATCAGAATTCAGAAACAGTAACTCTCTCCTTGGAAAGCGACCAGAAAAGCCAGCCAGCTATGATGATTCTTAGCTTATGTGTCTCTCCATTCAAATGTGAAATCCCCAAGGAAAAAGCGGGCTGGCTAGGCCTGGGTGCAGGCTTTCCCTTATCAGTCATCTATGACATGAGGCAGAATCACAAAGCAGACACCATTCCCAGACTATAAACTATAATTAAGGGGTAACTCAATTACCCATGTTGGTAAGCTTTTATTTTGTAGTGGAAAAAGTCAAGGGCAAAAAGGTACAAAAGACACTGTTTAGTCAAACAAATTTAATCAGGTTAATGCCAAGAATCAAGGTACAATTACAAGAAAAGTTGCTTTTATTTTTACATATTTAAATTTTTCATTGTCTTTACTTGTAAGGTGTTGAAGGTGGGACCCACTCGTGAATCTTCTTTCTGGTGGTGGAATAAGGTACATATTGTTCTGGGGTGCCGGACTCGTTGAACCTATGGTTCGTCCAAATGAACTTACGAGCAATAGGTGGCTTTGTAGTTGGCGGATCATCAGTCATACAGTGAAGCCAACGGTGCCTTAAAGAAAACAAACAAACCAGTTATGAAGGGATGGTACAGCACAGCGGAAGACAGTGGAAGGGGGAGGTTAGCAGGCAGCTCAGGAGCTATGCTGCTGCTTAACTTCAAACCTCAGCCACTTCATTTAATAGGTGAACTTTCCTGTACCTTTGGCATATAGACAGGTCTTGTAGAAAGTGCAGCCAGAGTGTTCCTTAGAGACAAGGATGGTGAAGCTTCATCTCACATACTTTGGGCATGTTGTTAGGAGGGGCTATTCCTTAGAAAAGGACATCATGCTTGGAAAAGGCAACTTTGAAAGAGAGAACGACCCTCAATGACATGGACTGACACAGTGACTATCGCAATGGTTTTATTGGGTCACTGAGTCATACTTGACAGCCCTAACAACCACCACCAAAGGATGGTATAAGGATTAAACGAGGTAATACACATTAACATTTACTTTATTTGCCCTTGAGTCTGAGCTAACTGATAACTGACTCTCCAGTGGGTTTTCAGAGGCTGCAAATCACACAGAAGAAGAATGTCCATCTTCCTCCCTCAGAGCATTTGGTGGATTTAAACCACTTGCCTTTGGGGTGACAGTCCAGCTCCTTCCTTACCCACTAGACCACCAGAGCTTCCTGATTATCTGTGAAACACCTAGAAAAACTCCTGCACATAGGAGATACTTAGAAAATGTTAGCTACTGCTCTTATCAGTATTGTGTTTCATCAAATCTAGGGCACTATCCATTCTTAGCCTTTTAAAAAAAACAACACAAAAAAAACCCAATGGTTTTTCAGTCACTTGCTATGCATCTGAGAGCTGGACAATGAATAAAGGTGACAGAAGAAGAATTTATGCTTTTGAGTTGGAGAAGAATACCTAATATCCCATGGACTGCTAAAAGAACAGACAGATACATCTTGGAGAAGGTGAAGCCAGAGTGCTCTTTGGAAGCAAGGATGGTGAAGCTTCATGTCACATAATTTGGGCATGTTATTAAGAGAGGCTATTCCTTGGAGAAGGACATCATGCTTGGAATGGTGGAGGGATGAAGGAGAGAAAGACCATCAACCAGGTGGATTGATACAGTGACTACAGCAATGGGCTCAAGTGTGTTAGAGCTTGTGAGGCTGGCACAGGACGTGACCTGGGCCAATAAACTTCAACTATTAGCATGAGCCCTAAAGCCTTGTGATGCTGAGACGGGCTGCTCCAGCCACTCCAAGAAAGGATTAGCCATCAAAACCAAGGCTGTCAGTCATCAAGGGGCTTTCTGTGAGCCTAAGGCATGGCGGAAGTATTTAACTTTTACCTTGAGTCAGCTTAAGTAACTAAAGAAAAATGTCACTCTAAGAATTGCTGTCAAGACTCCTGAAGGTTATGTTATTTAAAGAATCACAATCCAAAACTTATATATGCTTCTCAATTATAAGTGAGGGATTGATGAACACATGGAAAAATAGACAATCTTCAAGAAAAAGTAAAAATCATTTTCCTGGCAAAAGGAAAAAAATCTTAAAATGTATAGTCTAGTCAGGCTAAAGACTAGAGTCAGTGAATGAGTATGACAATAATCTAAATTCATTATGGCAGAATAAAGAACGTAAGAAACAATATTTAAGGACTGTTAGGCTAATAGGATTCTTCTGCTAAAATTATTTGTTTTCTTCTTATCTTTGTGATGTGACAGCAAGTTTACAAAGCAATTTGGGTTTCCATTCTGTTGTAAGCATTATTAAGTAAAGTGGTATATGGTTCAGTAGTAGAATTCTCACGTTCCATGCAGGAGGTCTCACGTGTAGCTACCACCGTATCAGTCAGTGCACGCATGCATGTTTCAAGAGAGCTTCCAAATAACTTATAGAAAAGTCGAAACTTGTACAAAAATTTTAAAATGAGAATTTAAAAATTCTTTAACACCATAAAGTATTAGAGAGTTAATGATCTTGAGCATTTCTTCACATGTCTGTTGGCTATCTGAATTACTTTCTGGGTGAAGTATCTCTTCATAGCCTCTGCCCACTGTTCTAATTTTTAAATGGTCTCAAGAGTTTACCTTAGCCTCTACTGAGTATGCTTTTTAACTATATTTGATTGGCTATTTATGGCATAAATTGCTGTTGTTATTGATTGTTGTTGCTATTGAGTGTGACTCAGAGCAACTATGGACCCTGACACACATTCTTAATTTTAAACCATGATGAGTTCCCACAAAAGGTGATCCAACAGAATGTGGAAATTACTGAATAATATCATTGTATCACATGCAAGCAAAATATGGCTGAAGATAATCCAAAAATGGCTAGAATAGAGAGAAAGAACTATCAGATGTTAAAGCTGTGTTTAATAGAGGATATGGCACCAGGGATGTAATTTCTGATGTTAGATGGATCCTGACTGAAAGCAGTGAATCCCAGAAGAATGGAAAGCAGAGAATGCCAGAAGAATGTCTATTTGTGCTTTATTAATTACGCAAATGCATTTGACTGTGTATATTATAACAAATTACAGCTAACACTGAAAAGAACAGGAGTCCCAGAACACTTACTCGTGCTCATGTGAAACCTACAAGCAGACCAACAGGCTGTTCTGCAGAGCAAGCGAACGCTTGATTAGGTTTCCTAAATTTGTCCATATTTTTTCTTTAATGAACTTTATAGTTTTGAGTTTTACTCTAGGTGCTTGAGTCACCTTGAGTAAGGGTGCTTTTTTCTCTTTAATATAGTAAGGACCTTGCTTCAATTTTCTACAAATATCCAGTTTTGCCAGCACATTTGTTAAAGAGGCTGCTTATTCCTCATAGGTGGATGAGTTTACTTTGGGGGGAGGGTGTCTCAATTCTGTTCCATTGCTGTACAAACCTGCTGCTGTACTAGTACCAATCCGTTTTGAATAAGGAAGTATATGGCCTCCTACTATAAGGTTCTCCCTCCCACCGGATATTTATAAAAAAAAAAAGGAATCAAGATGAACCTTCTATAAGCTAATATTCTTAAATTATTCCTTCCAATTATTAAAGTTTTGTCATTAAAAAAAAAAAAAGACCTATACAAAGAAAAGTTGCAAAACCTAACTCCAGAAACCCAAGGAAACCTCTATGAAAGGATATTTGCAATGCTGGTGGCCTAATGGTAAGAAGCTACGCAGCAATTCCAACTGCACAAGGGTCAAATCTACTAGCAGCTCCAGGGGGAGGATGTGCAATTTCCTGTGGGATTTACTCGCTCTGAGAACCCACTGGAGGGTCAGTGAAGAGTTGGTTCCAACTCTACAGTACACATCAACAATAACAGTGCTGATCCACTGGAAGACTTAACACTGTCAGTGCCTACCAAAAGTGTTCTGCGGATACAATGCAATCTCCACTCAGATCAAAGAGATGAAAAAAGGTGTCACCTATTTTATATGGAAAGGAAAGAGATTAACAAAACTATTCCTAAAATCTTTCTATTCACAGAATATAGAAAGCCACTGTTAAATGTAATATCAAAGCCTACAAAGCCAGAGAGGGGAAGAAGGAGACTGAGTTCCGTATGTAAAAGTTAAAATGTCTATGTCCTTAAAAAAAAAGAGCTCTAGGGGCCTAGGGGCTAAGAAACTGCCCTGCCAACTCAAAAGGTCAGTGGTTCGAATCCACCAGCTGCTCTGATAGAGAGACTGGCAATCTTTCAATTTGTGATTAACAGCCTTTGAAAACCTGTTGAGGGTCAGTAAAATGACTATACAGTAGAATGGATGTTTTTTATGTTCTATAACACTACAACAAGATGAGAGTAAAACAAACAGAGGGAAACATTGATAATATGCAAAAAAGGGAGTTAAACTACAATTACAAATTAGAAGAAAAAGTCAAGCACTCAAGAGAAGACTGTCCCCTCAAAAAACCATTAAAGGACAAGTTAAAGATACACAAACTTTAAAGGTCAAGTAATTTAATCAAAGAACTACAAGTTAATAGAAGATGTAACTTTTAAAACTGTTGAACTGGCAATTTTTAAAAAAATAAACAACAGTAGCCAGGACTGCAGAAATTATAAAGAAATAAAAATTCCCATGCAGCTGAATGTATTCACCCTGTGAGTGCAAACTGTACAGCTTTTCTGGCAATATGAATATTGTTGTTGATAAAAAAACTCACAACTCTTAAAACATGTACACTCTTACTATAAAAAAGAGAGTCCTATGGGCATAAGTACAAGAATGCTAATCTTATGCACATCCAAAAACTTCTCCAGTAGGGTAAAAAGGGAAGCCACTGACTGGGAAAAAGTATTCGGTAATATCATATCAGATAAGGGACTTATATCCAGAATTTATGAAATACTTGAGCACCACAACAAGATAAAGGTAAATAATCCAATAGAAAAATGGGCACAGGAT